AAAGTGCTAACCATCAAACGAAAAATTATTAAAATTAAGAGAAAAGAAAATAGATTTTTGCTGATCTGCAAATCATGAAGATAATTCTCCTATATTTTCTCATAGAAACGTTTTGTTTTATTGCACCACTGCATCCCATCCTGGGCAGCAGAGTGAGACTCCATCTCAAAATAGATAAATAAAAATAGCTGAGTTGCAGCTCTCAACAAACAATATGTTGAAGGTATACAATTTAATACGATTTAACATATTTATGTACGGTAAAACCACCACCAAAAACAAAATAGTGAACCCCAATAGTTCCCAAAAGTTTCCTCATGGCTCCTTTTAGCCACTCCTTAATACTCCTTATCCTTAGGCAACCACTGATCCTTAATCTGCAGTTGGTAGAATTCTTTATCAATGGCTGGACGCGGTGGCTAATGCCTGTAATCCCAGAACTTTGGGAGGCCGAGGCAGGCTGATCACAAGGTCAAGAGATCAAGACCAGGCTAGCCAACATGGTGAAACGCTGTCTCTACTAAAAATACAAAAATTAGCTGGGTGTGTTGGTGCATGCTTATTGTCCCAGCTACTCAGGAGGCTGAGTCAGGAGGATTGCCTGAACCTGGGAGGCAGAGGTTGCAGTGAGCTGAGATCATGCCACTGTACTCCAGCCTGGGCGACAGACTCCGTCTCAAAAAAAAAAAGAAAAAAAAGAAAAGAAAAGAAAAGAAAACTAAACTAAATTAAAAGAAAAAAAGAATCCAATCCCAGCACTTTGGGAGGCTGAGGCGGGTGGATAACAAGATCAGATCGAGACCATACTGGCCAACATGGTGAAACCCCGTCTCCACTAAAAATAAAAAAAAAAAAATTAGCTGGGTGTGGTGGCACATGCCTGTAATCCCAGCTACTCAGGAGGCTGAGGCAGAAGAATCTCTTGAACCTGGGAGGTGGAGACTGCAGTGAGCCGAGATTGCGCCACCGCACTCCAGCCTAGCGATAGAGCGAGACTCTGTCTCAAAATAAAATAAAATAAAATAAAATAAAATTAAAAAATAAATAAATTCCAGGCAAAGTCAGCTGTGAAAACAGGTTAAGTGATTTCAAAAAGGTGATCAGAGGCCTGCTGACACTTTCAGCAAAGAGTCTAGTCACTGAAAGTGGCAAATGGTGATCCTGTACCAAAGTCCAGGATTCCAATATTCAGGCTTAGGAAACTAAAAAATTTTTCTCATTTATTTGTGGTCTTAATGAAGTAAAAGAAACTAATTTTATTAATTCAATCAAGGTTTTGGGGACAACACAAATTACAAGAGACTGTTTATATAGCACATATATATATATTTTTGAAATAGGGTCTCACACTGTTGCCGGGGCTGGAGTATAGTGGCACAATCATAGCTCACTGTAACCTGGAACTCCTGGTCTCAAGCAATCCTCCTATCTAAGCCTCTCAAGTAGCTGGGACTATAAACTCCCACCACCATGCGCAGCTAATTAAAAAAAATTTTTGGCCAGGCATGGTGGCTCACACCTGTAATCACAACACTTTGGGAGGCAGAGGTGGGTGGATCACCTAAGGTCAGTAATTCAAGACCAGCCTGACCAACATGGCAAAACCCCGTCTCTACTAAAAATACAAAATTAGCCAGGCGCGGGCACAGTGGCGGGTGACTGTAATCCCAGCTACTCAGGAGGGTGAGGCACGAGAATCACTTGAATACAGGAAGTGGAGGTTGCAGTGAGCCAAGATTGTACCACTGCACTCCAGCCTAGGCAACAAGAGCAAAACTCCATCTCTAAAAAAATAAATAAAACAAAATTTTGGGGGGCTGGGTGCAGTGGCTCAGGCCTGTAATCCCAGCACTTTGGGAGGCTGAGGTTGGTGGATCATGAGGTCAGGAGTTCTAGACCAGCCTGACCAACATGGTGAAGCCTCATCTCCACTAAAAAATACAAAAATTAGCCAGGCATGGTGGCAGGCGCCTTTAATCCCAGCTACTCGGGAAGCTGAGGCAGAATAGCTTGAACCCAAGAGGTGGAGGTTGCAGCAAGCCGAGATCCCACCCTTGTACTCCAGCCTGGGCGACAGAGCAAGACCCTGTCACCAAAAAAAAAAAAATTTTTTTTTTTGGTGACAGGGTCTTGCTCTGTCGCCCAGGCTGGTCTCAAACTGCTCGCCTCAAGTGATCCTCTCACTCCCACCTCCCAAAGCACTGAGATTACAGTTGTGAGCCACTGTGCTAGGCCCATGATTCCAATTTTTGAGAAAGTAGAGAGAAAGAGATGTGTCAAGTATAAGGATGCTATCTTTCCTAAAAACATACTGTTTTGGGAAGTAAAATAGTACCAGATGGTTACCTGGTATCACCCCACACTACAAACTTCACATATCATTCTCTACCACAGGGGCAAATGGTTTGGTGGTTCTACTGCCAAAAGTCTATAGAGGCACCTGACAACGTATGTATTTGACTTTCTTCTCTTCAGACTTTGCAGACTACTTACTGCCACAATTCTTGTTATGGCCAAAATGACTGTCTACATTAAGGGTGGAGACTCCTTGATAGTATAGGTTTTAAGGCCACACATCAGCTGCTAGGAGACTAAGCCAAAGAAAAAGAGCTTTTAGGTTACCACTTACTTCAAATCAAGGCCACTTTGCCTTTGAGCATTCTAGTCTCTCATTTACTGTGCAACTTTTCTGCAAGTTCTTCAAATTTCTTGCCTCTTTCCTGCTACTATGCTGAATATGTAAGTTCCCGTGAGCTGCTTACTATCTTGTTATTAAAATTTTCTGTCCTAGGGATGTAACCCAATTACTATGTATAATTTCAGGTTTTCACAAAAAATTTATGTAGTTCCCATTCATGAATAATTGATTAAATGTATCATGTCACTGTTTCTAAAATGCCTTCATCAGTTAAAAAAAAATTATACTCTATAATGTTCCCACAAATATTGCTATCCCTTTAAACTTCATCTACACTTATTGTTCCATGACTTGATACAGGTTTTCTTGTCTTAGAAGTAATCTCATTTAATTAAGACCTTTCTTCATGACAAGACAGTTGAGTAATAACAAAAACTATTTATTGGACTTTAAATAGCAATTTCAATTTTGCAACATCTCTGCACATCACTTTTGCAAATAGAAATTGCTAACAAATAACACTTTGAGGTTCCCAAAGTGTAAGAGAACATGTATAGACTTGTATTAGATTAAATGCTTTTTTGTTTTTGTTTTGAGACAAGGTCTTGTTCTGTCATCCAGGCTGGAGTGCAGTGGTGCCATCAAAATTCACTGCAAGCCTGGACCTCCTGGGCCCAAGTGATCCTCCCATCTCAGCCTCTCGAGTAGCTGAGACCACAGGTATGTGTCACTACACCCAGCTAATTTTTTAATTTTTTGAAGAAACCTGGGGGGTGGGTCGAGTGTCTCCGTTTGTTCCCCATGCTGGTCTCGAACTCCTGGTCTCAAATGATCCTCTCACCTCAGCCTCCCAAAGTGCTGGGATTAGAGTTGTGAGCCATGGCACCCAGACCAGACTAAATGTTTTTGAACAATTACCAAAAAAACAAATTATCCCATTGTTAGATAATGCCTATAGATAATCACTGACTTCCAAATGCTGGACAGAAGATTCTATCACACTACTTAAGTGCAAAAGGTAATAATAAACGAATGGAAAACATTTAACTGGATAAACAGGTTCTCTACATCTTTTACTTACTTTTGTACTGAAATTCTAATTTTAAATAAAGAAATAGGCCAGCCTGGTGGTTCAAGCCTAAAATCCCAGCACTTTGGAAGCCCGAGGTGGACAGATTGCTTGAGCCAGGAGTTTGAAACTACAGTGAGCTATGATTGCACCACTGCACTCCAAATTAGGTAACAGAGTGAGACCCTGTCATTCATTAATTTATACTTACATACATACGTACAGGGTTCTACTTAAATAGGCAGATAAAAAAGACATATTTAAACTATCTTCCTAATCCTCAATTAAAAGCACAGACATAAAAAAGCTATAAATAAAGCCCAAAGACAGAAGAAGAAATAACAAAGATGTCAACGAATGACTGGAAAATAAAAAGTGAACAGGCTTGGCATGGTGGCTTACACACGTAATCCCAACAATTTGGAAGGCCAAGGTGGGATGACCTCTTGAGCCTAGGAGTTTGAGATCAGCCTGGACAACACGGAGAGACTCTGTCTCTACAAAAAAAAAAAAAAAATTAGCCAAGTGTGGTGGCATGCACCTGTGGTCTCAGCTACTTGGGAGGCCAAGGCAGGAGAATCACTTGAGCCCAGGAGTTCAAGACCAGCCAGGGAACATAGTGACACCTTGTTTCTGCAAAAAAAGTAAGTAGCCGGGCATGGTGGCTTGCACCTGTAGTGCCAGCTACTGGGGAGGCTGAGGTAGGCAGACTGCTTTAGCTGGAAGGTCAAGGCTGCAGTGAGCCGTGATTGCACCACCCCACTGCACTCTAGGTCTGGGTGATAGAGTGAGACCCTGTCTCAAAAAAAAAAAAAAAAAAAAAAAAAGCCTCTAATTTCTTGCCAGGGCCAAGCATAAGTCTACCTATCAGCTTTCTGGATGTAGCAAGTAGAATGAGAAATCAGGTAAATTGATTTTACCATATTTGTTTCCATTTGGCCTTTGTAACTGGTCCACTCACTCACCATGAAACACACAAGCGGTGTTTGTTATTCTGAATCTGGAGCCTTCCCTGAACCTCAGCTACCGAGAACCTCCAGTCTGGAACCATTACAGGGTTCTTGGTTCAAATCAGTTCACTTCCTGTTCCAACTTCATTTCACTCTTAGGCTGCTGCTGCTTCTGCATTGTTAAAACAGTTAAAATTCCTCCTCTAGGTTTCCTTCTCCCAAAAACGTAGAGAATCTCTCCTTCTCTACTTTTCCCGTTCTATTCTTGCATGTTTATATCCATTTTATTCCTTTACTATAATTTTATATGGCTTAAAAAGAAGTGGGGCCTGGTGGCACACACCTGTAGTCCCAGCTACTCAGGAGGTTGAGGCAGGAGAATCACTTGAGTCCAAGATGCTGTAGAGAAATATGATCATGCCTGTGAATATCATCGCACAACAGCCTGGGCAATAGAGCAAGACCGCATCTCTTTAAACAGAAATTTGTGCCATATCCAATTCTGCCTGTTACTTAGTATCCTTGGGACGACAGAGCCTTAGGAGACCAAAAGTAAAATAAATAAACAAAACAGAATAGATATATGTAGTCACCCTGTCATGTTTAACCAGAAATTTGTAATCAGTCAAAAGTTCCTGATATTATGGAGCTTGTATTCTAACAAGGCAGAAACTGACAATAAAAATAATTAAAATATGTTTGAAAGTAGTAAGTGCTTATTAAGATTAAGCAGGGTTGGCCAGGCGCAGTGGCTCATGTCTGTATTCCCAGCACTTTGGGAGGCCAAGGCGGATGGATCACCTGAGGTTGGGAGTTCAAGACCAGCGTGACCAACATGGAGAAACTCCGTTTCTACTAAAAATACAAAAATTAGCCGGGCATGATGGCGGGCTCCTGGAATCCCAGCTACTTGGGAAGCTGAGGCAGGAGAATGGCTTCAACCCGGGAAGCAGAGGTTGCAGTGAGCAGAGATTGTGCCATGGCACTCCAGCCTGGCAACAAGACCGAGACTTTGTCTCGAAAAAAAAGAAAACAAAAAACCTTATGAATACAAACAGATGAATCTCACATAATACAAAGTGAAAGCAGACACAAAAATACACACTATGAGTGTGATTGCATCTATACCATGCTCTAGAAAAGGTAAATGTAGTCTCTTATGATAGAAAACAGATCAGTATCAGACAGGTGCAGTGGTTCATACCTGTAATCCCAGCACTTTGGAAGGCTGAGGTGGGTGGGGCACCTGAAGTCAGGAATTCAAGACCAGCCTAGCCCACATGGTGAAACCCGCTCTCTACTAAAAATACAAAAATTAGCCAGGCATGGTGGCACACATCTGTAGTCCCAGCTGCTTGGAAGGCTGAGGTGGGAGGCTCTCTTGAGCCCAGGAGGAGGTGGTTGTAGTGAGCCAAGATCAAGTCACTGCACAGACACTCTAGCCTGGGTGACAGAGTGAGACTCCGCCTCCAAAAAAAAAAAAAAGAAAAGAAAACATCAGTATTACTTGGGGCTGGGCGTGGAGGTAGAAATGGTAGGGAGAAAAGTTCTACTGATAGGAATTTCCATGTTTTGATTGTGGTGGTGATTATAAGACTTCCACATTTGCCAAAACTTGTCAAACTAAATTTATAATGGATATAATTTATTGTATGTCAATTACACCTCAATCAAGTAGATTTTTAAAAAGGATTGCTCAGGTTGCTGTGTAGAGAACAGACTGTCAGATGTATATGGAACTAATCTAATATTAACAATGAACAGTTAACCAATTAATATTTCCTTGATTCTAAAAATGAATCCTAAATTCAGTTTTTCTGAGTAACAGTTCCTGGCAAATTAACAACATTGCTTTCACATTTGTATAATGCCTACTTCTACTTACACAAAGTCTATAAGCAGTAACCTCAAAACTATTACAGAAATAATAGAATGTTTTGCCTGCAATTAAAAAAAAAAACAAGGCCGGGCGCAGTGGCTCACGCCTGTAATCCCAACACTTTGGGAGGCCAAGGCGGGCGGATCATGAGGTCAGGAGATCGAGACCATCCTGGCCAACACGGTGAAACCCTGTCTCTACTAAAATTACAAAAAAAAAAAAAAAATTAGCTGGGCATGGTGGTGGGCACCTGTAGTCCCAGCTACTCGGTAGGCTAAGGCAGGAGAATGGCGTGAACCCGGGAGGCAGAGCTTGCAGTGAGCTGAGATCGTGGCACTGCACTCCAGCCTGGGCAACAGAGCGAGACTCTGTCTCAAAAAACAAACAAACAAACAACTTCCTGACAAATACTTAACACTTCGGATATTTAAAATGCAGGGTTTTATTTTTGGGTTTTATTTTGAGACAGAGTCTCACTCTGTCGCCCAGGCTGGTATGCAGTGGCGCAATCTCACTGCAATCTCCACCTGCCAGGTTCAGGTGATTCTCCCGCCTCAGCCTCCTGAGTAGCTAAGACCAGAGGCACATGCCACCATGCCAGCTTATTTTTGTATTTTTAATGGAGATGGGGTTTCACCACGTTGGCCAAGCTGATCTAGAACTCCTGACCTCAGGTGATCTGCCCACCTTGGTCTCCCAAATGCTGGGATTACAGGCATGAGCTACTAGGCCTGGCCAAAATGCTTTCTTTTTCCTGCCTTTTTTTGCTTTTGTTTTTGTTTTTGAGACAAGGTCTCAATCCTTTGTTCAGGCTGGAGTGCAGTGGCTTGATCACTACTCACTGCAGCCTCAACCTGCCGGACTCAGGTGATTCTCCCACTTCAGCCTCTGGAGTAGCTGGGACTACTAGCATGCCACCACACCCAGCTGATTTTTTGTATTTTTTTTGTAGACATGGGGCTTCGCTTTGTTGCCCAGGCTGGTTGTGAACTCCTGGGCTCAAGCAATCCTCCCATCTCAGTCTCCCAAACTGCTGGGGATTGCAGGCATGAGACACTGCACTTGGCCTTAAAAATGTTTTTAAAGGCCGGGCGTGGTGGCTCACGCCTGTAATCCCAGCACTTTGGGAGGCCAAAGCGGGTGGATCACAAGGTCTGAAGATCGAGACCATCCTGGCTAACATGGTGAAACCCCGACTCTACTAAAAATACAAAAAATTAGCCGGACGTAGTGGCGGGCGCCTGTAGTCCCAGCTACTTCGGGAGGCTGAGGCAGGAGAATGGCGTGAACCTGGGAGGCAGAGCTTGCAGTGAGCCGAGATCGCGCCACTGCACTCCAGCCTGGGCAACAGAGCCAGACTCCGTCTCAAAAAAAAACCAAAAAATGCTTTTAAATTCAGGCCGGGCATGGTGGCTTACGCCTGTAATGCCACTGCTTTGGGAGGCTGAGGCAGGCAGATCACCTGAGGTCAGGAGATCAAGACCGGCCTGATGAACATGGAGAAAAACCATCTCTACTAAAAATCCAAAAAAAAAAAAAAAAAATAAGCCATGCATGGTGGCACATGCCTATAATCTCAGCCACCCAAGAAGCTGAGGCAGGAGAATCGCTGAAACTCAGGAAGTGGGGGTCAAGATGACCCGAAAACGCCCCTTTACACCCCACCCGGGGAAAAAAAAAAAAAACCCCTTCTCAAAAAAAAAAAAAAAAAAGAAAAAGCTTCTAAACTCATGTTTATCATGTCAGAACATGTAGGTTTTGAAAGCATTAAAATTAAGTTTATAATTTTACATTTCTCTTTATTTATTTTTTGAGACAGAGTCTTGCTCTGTCACCCTGGATGGAGTGCAGTGGTGCGATCTCAGCTCACTGCAACCTCTGCCTCCCAAGTTCGTGATTCTCTGGCCTCAGCCTCCCAAGTAGCTGGGATTATGGGCACCCGCCATCATGCCTGGCTAATTTTTGTAGAGACGGAATTTCACCATGTGAGCCGAGATCGCGCCACTGCACTCTAGCCTGGGCGACAGAGCCAGACTCCGTCTCAAAAAAAAAAAAAAAAAAAAGATCACCTCAGGTGATCTTCCCACTGTGGCCTCCCACAGTGCTGGGATTACAGGCATGAGCCACCACGCCTGGCCCAGGCTAATTTTCTTATTTTTAGTAGAGATGAGGTTATGTTGGCTAGGCTGGTCTCGAACTCCTGGCCTCAAGTGATCCATCCGCCTCGGATTCCGACAGTGCTGGGATTACAGGATTACCACACCCAGTCTTATTTCTTAAGCTAATAGTGGAAGACCAGATACAATCCTTTCCTGACATAGTCCTTTTTTTCTATAGCAAACGTTCACATCTTCCTCCTAACACTTTGGCTACAAAGGTAACTGTGCAATAAATGAAGATGGGAAAACACTTATTTATAGTATAATGCAATAAATAAATGTAAGAAGAATAGCAGACTTAGAAAATGACAATTTTGTAACCATTATAGGAATAACTGGGTTAAGCAAGTCACCAAGGAACGCTAAAATTTGAAACTTTTATTTATAAATGAAAAGGTGAAACTTTATTTATAAATGAGATATTTACACAATCTATGGGAACACAGGTCACTACTTATCAATTACAAAGAGAAACCTGGTAGATACAATCTTAACAAAGTCGTCAAAGATAATAGCTGATATTGGGGCTCAGAAATCAATACCCAGGCAGGGCGTGGTAGTTCATGCCTGTAATACCAGCACTTTGGGAGGCTGAGGCGGGTGGATCACTTGAAGTCAGAAGTTTGACATCAGCCTGGCCAACATGGTGAAACCCTGTCTCTACTTAAAAAATAAGCCAGGCATGGTGGTACATGGAGGCTGAGGCAGGAGAATCACTTGAACCCAGGAGGTGGAGGTTGCAGTGAGCTGAGGTTGCGCCACTGCACTCCAGCCTGGGCAACAAGAGCAAAACTCTTGTCTCAAAAAACAAAAGAAATCAATACCCCCAAATATGGCTATGCTCAACCAAAGAAACCTCAAGGTATCTCTGATACCTCACTCCACCCACACACCTTCCCTTCCAAAGCATACAGTAGCTTAAGTTCCTTTATGCGCCTAAAATACAGACCCACCCAAAGGAACAACTGTTTTTCTTCTGTACGCTGTAACACCAAGAATGTAACCACACCTAAAAGGACTCTTTTACAAGATAATGTACAAGTTAATCTCTGTTCCCTGATCCAGTCATTCTCCCTAGTAATCCCCTCAGCAGAATTCCTCTTCTCCAGGTTTCCATAACTTGTTTTGCCAGAATGGTATATAACCTTCTGAACCACCTGGGGGGATAGGCAATCACTCTGTGATAAATTTGTATGCCTTGGACAGCTCAGTGACTCATGCCTATAATCTCAACACTTTAGGACCCCGAGGCAGGAGGATAGCTTGAGCTTAGGAATTCAAGAACAGGCTGGGTAACATTTATCTACAAAAATACAAAAAAATGACTGGGTGTGGTGATGCTCGCCTATAGTCCCAGCTACTCAGGAGGCTGATGTGGGAGGATCACTTGAACCCAGGAGGTTATGGCTGCAGTGAGTTGTGATCATGTCACTGCACTCTAGCCTGGGTGACAGAGCAAAACCCTGTATCAAAAAGAAAGAAAGGAAAGAAAGAAAGGAAAGAAAGGAAGAAAGGAAGAAAGCAAGAAAGAAAGAAAGAGGAAGCTATAGCAAAAGTACCTTAGGGAAAAAAAATCTGTATGCCTTTTTTTCCAATTCACATGCCTTTTGTGAGTTGGTTTTTATTTTTATTTTTTTTGGTAGCAACACGATCTTGTACGTTGTCCAGGCTGGTCTGGAACTCCTGGCTTCAAGTGATCCTCCCATCTTGGCCTCCTAAAGTGTTGGGATTAGGAATCTGGCCTTGTACATGAGTTGATTATCTTTTGGAGACAAGGTCTTGCTCTGTTGCTCAGGCTACAATGCGGTAACACGATCATGGCTCACTGTAATCTCGACCTCCCAGGCTCAAGCAATCCTCCCACCTCAGCTGGGACTACAGGTACACACCACCACACCCAGGTAATTTTTTATTTTTTTATACAGATAGCAACTCACTATGTTGCTCAGGCTGGTCTCAAACTCTTGCACTCAGGCAATCCTCTCACCTCAGCCTCCCAAAGAGCTAGGATTACAGCACGAGCAATCATGCCCAGTCAATGAGCTAACGAGATGATTTTTTCAAGGGTGAAGGGGAACTTTCACCTTGGCCTGGACAACTGAAGAAACTGACGTCCATCCCTTCTGATGTGATGTATTACTTACATAGCTTTCTTGCTAAAACTGTATAACCTGAAACTAACCATGAGGAAGTGACTGGACAAGCTCAAATTGAAAGACAGGACATTTAATAATATAATCGGCTCATCATTCTTCAAAAACGTCACTGTTATAAAAGACCAAAAAAAGAAAAATCTGTAGAATCATTTTAGATTAAAGAAGAATAAAGTATGACAACTAAATGCAAAGCTAAAGCTTGATTCTGGACTGGTTCCTGGATTTTCTAAAAAGTTTCTGTTAATGACAGTATTGAAACAACTGGAAACATTTGAACCCAAATGTATACTAAGTAACAGTATTGCATCAATATTAAATTTCCTGAATTTGGCTGCTTGCAGTGGCTCACGCCTGTAATCCCAGCACTTTGGCAGGCTGAGGCGTGTGAACACTTGAGATCAAGAGTTCCAGACCAGTCTGGCCACCATGGTGAAACACTTTCTCTACTAAAAATACAAAAATGAGCCGGGTGTGGTGACGCATGCCTGTAGTCCCAGCTACTCAGGAGGCTGAGGCAGCAGAATTGTTTGAACCCAGGAGGTGGAGGTTGCAGGGAGCCGAGACTGCGCCACTCTACTCCAGCCTGGGCGACAGAGCGAGACTACATCTCCAAAAAAAAAAAAAAAAAAAAAAAAATTGAATTTGATAAAATTACATCTTAGTCCACACTCTTAATAAGAGATAAAAGTAACATCTCTCAAGTGTTCAAGAAAAAAAAAGAATAAGAATGTGTAAACACAATGCAAAAATAATAGTTACACAATATATAGGACAAAGAAATGAAGTAACGTGGTAAAGAACAAACAATGTGCAAATCTAAGAGAAGAGTACATAAAAATTCACTGTAATATTCTTCCAACTTTTCTGTAGATTTGAATTTAAAAAAATCAAATTAACAAAAAAACTAGTTGCCAGCCGGACGCTGTGGCTCAGGCCTGTAATCCCAGCACTTTGGGATGCCAAGGCGGGCAGATCATCTGAGGTCAGGAATTCGAGACCAGCCTGGCCAACACGGTGAAACCTCACTTCTACTAAAAATACAAAAATTAGCTGGGTGTGGTGGTGCACACCTGTAATCCCAGCTACTTGGGAGGCTGAGGCAGGAGAACTGCTTGAACCTAGGAGGCGGAGGTTGCAGTGAGCCAAGATCATGCCACTGCACTCCAGCCTAGGTGACAGAGACAGACTCCGTCTCAAAACAAAACAAAACACAAAACAAAACTAGTTGCTATTATATGGTCCATAATACAGTGGAGAAAAACTTTCACCCAGCATAAAGGTCTTCTAAAATTAGGTCTCTTTCTTTATGAACGTACTTCAAATACATTTTTTCTTTTTTTTGAGACAGAGTCTCGCTCTGTCACCCAGACTGGAGTGCAGTGGCGTGATCTCGACTCACTGCAAGCTCTGCCTCCCAGGTTCACGCCATTTTCCTGCCTCAGCCTCCCGAGTAGCTGGGACCACAGGTGCCCACCACCACGCCTGGTTAATTTTTTTTTTTTTGTATTTTTAGTAGAGATGAGGTTTCACCGTATTAGCCCAGATGCTCTCCTGACCTTGTGACCCACCCGCCTCGGCTTCCCAAAGTGCTGGGATTACAGGTGTGAGCCATTGCGCCTGGCCCAAATACACTTTTTCAAACAGATAGAATGATGACTCTAGCTGTACTTCCAAGATTTCATCACAGCATATCCTTGCCTTAGAATGAAAGTGGCACCTGAACCATGGCCAGTCCACTATAGCCAAATCTAAAATAAATATACACATACAGTGTATATAAACAAAATTGCACCCCAAAGATGACAGAGTTTTGTCAGTTTTGTCACAGCTTGTGAATTCTGTTCACCAAGTGTTGGAATCTAATCTGCTGTGCCCCTAAAATAGCATTTACAAGTTTTGGATATGAAAAACAGAAAAGAGAAAAACATACATTATAAAAGCAGAACATACATATATCAGTTTTTGGATACTAAATGACAACCTGTTTCTCCCTTTTGAATCAGCAGACACCATGGATTATATTTTTTTTCCCTTCAGTAGTGAGCAGTTTGCGTGTACAGAGAAAATGGACTTACAAAAACTTGCAGCAGTAGTTTGTTCTTGCTTTAAAATTTCGTTTTTGCCGGGGGAGGTGGCTCACGCCAGTAGTTCCAGCACTTTAGGAGGCCAAGGCGGGCGGATCACGAGGTCAGGAGATCGAGAATATCCTGGCTAACACGGTAAAATCCCGTCTCCCCTAAAAATACAAAAAATCAGCCGGGCGTCATGGCGGGTGCCTGTAGTCCCAGCTACTCGGGAGGCTGAGGCAGGAGAACGTCGTGAACCCGGGAGGCGGAGCTTGCAGTGAGCCGAGATCGCGCCACTGCACTCCAGCCTGGGCGACAGAGCGAGACTCCGTCCCAAAAAAAAAAAAAAAAAAAAAAAAATCGTTTTTGGTTTAGATTGTGAATGCATGAAGTAAGGGAGTGAATCAGTTTCTTGTTTACATTTTTTCCCCTTTTAAACAACAAAAAAATTTTTTAAAATACTTTAATGCATTCTTGGCCGGGGGCGGTGGCTCACGCCTGTAATCCCAGCACTTTGGGAGGCCGAAGCGAGCGGATCACAAGGTCGGGAGATGGAGACCATCCTGTCTAACACGGTGAAACCCCGTCTCTACTAAAAATACAAAATTAGCTGGGTGTGCTGGCGGGCACCTGTAGTCCCAGCTACTCGGGAGGCTGAGGCAGGAGAATGGCGTGAACCTGGAAGGCGGAGCTTGCAGTAAGCCGAGATTGCGCCACTGCACTCCAGCCTGGGCGACAAAGCGAGACTCCATCTCAAGAAAAAAAAAATACACATATATATATTTTAATGCATTCTTTTGAAGAGGTAGATGTTTGGTAATTTTATGGCTCCCAGAGCATATATTCAATTGGTGCATGTTGTGGGAGGGGGAAATGGAAATTAAATGAAAACATATGGCTTTGGTCATGTCAATCTGTAAGACACATCAGTAAAAGCGTTATTATGTTCGGTTGGGATTTTTTTGTTTGTTTTGCGTTTTGTTTTTTGGTGATGTGGCTTAAATGCAATCGTTTCTTTTTTGGGACATATTTTACCAATTAAAGACTAGAAGGGTACACACAAATTTTTTTTTTAATTCCATAGAGAAGATACATTAAAAAAGAAATCTTCTGATGTTTTGTAGCCGTAACTAAATTATGGTATAAACGCACACTATTGTGAAAAGGAGCAAAGTGGTTTTGGGTTTTTGTTGTTTGTTTGGTTGGTTTTTTTTTTTTTTTTTTAAGATAGAGTCTCGCTCTGTCACCCAGGCTGGAGTGCAGTGGCGCGATCTTGGCTCACTGCAAGCTCCGCCTCCTGGGTTCACGCCATTCTCCTGACTCAGCCTCCTGAGTAGCTGGGACTACAGGCACCCGCTACCGTGCCCGGCTAATTTTTTTTTTTTTTTTTGTATTTTTAGTAGAGACGGGGGTTTCACCGTGTTAGCCAGGATGGTCTTGATCTCCTGACCTTGTGATCCGCCTGCCTCGGCCTCCCAAAGTGCTGGGATTACAGGCGTGAGCCACCACGCCCGGCCTTTGTTTTTTAACAGATTAAAATGTTTCTGGATTAAAAAAAAGAATGAAGGTGGCAAAGACTTTAATGCATTAAGCCATGATAAACATGAGTGAGACCAGGCGCGGAGGCTCATGCCTGTAATCCTAGCACTTTGGGAGGCTGAGACAGGTGGATTGCTTTAGTCCAGGAGTTCAAGACCACCCTGGGCAACATGACGAAACCCCATCTCTACCAAAAATACAAAAAGTAGCTGAGTGTGGTGGAATGTGCCTGTAGTCCCAGCTACCCAGCAGGCTGAGGCAGGAGAATCTCCTGAACCCAGGAGGCAGAGGTTGCAGTGAGCCAAGATCACATCATCGCATTCCAGCCTGAGCAACAGAGCAAGACTTCAGCAAAAAAAAAAAAAAAAAAAAAAATTCTCTGAAGCGGGCCATGTACAGTGTGGCTCATGTCTGTAATCACAGCCCTTTGGGAGGCTGAAGCAGGTGGATTACCTGAGGACAGAAGTTCAAGACCAGCCTAACCACCATGGTAAAACCCTGTCTCTACTAAAAATACAAAAAATTAGCCCCGTGTGGAGGCGGGCACCTGTAATCCCAGCTCCACGGGAGGCTGAGGCAGGAGAATCGCTTGAACCTGGGAGGCAGAGGTTGCAGTAAGCTGAGATTGCTTCACAGCACTCCAGCCTGGGCAACAGAGCAAAACTCTATCTCCAAAAAAAAAATCTCTTAAGTAGCCTTTCATCAACAGGGTGGACTGAACTGATGCTGTCAGTTCTCCCTCTCACTACAAACACATAAAGATGTAGATAAAATGACAATAAAAATGTTCTGACACACAGCTAAACTAAAAAAACGGGAGATATCCCAGATTCCATACAGAGTACAATCAAAGCTATAGATGTAAGAGAAATCTGATGCCAGGGAATCGAGGCCTACAAGGGACAAGGGTTAGGTCCTTTGGACAAACACATGAGAGTAAGAATAGGGTTGGGAGAAATGACCTTAACCTTATAGGCAGGTAAAAGCCCTGTACCCTGTATCAAGCCCTAGAGCCAGGTGCTCCTTTCCTTGATCACAGATGCTCAAAAAATCCTGGAGAAGCCACAAAGAGGTTTGCCATCTATCATGGCAACGTTGAGAGGTGGGCAAATTGCTCTCAAAACATTAAAAGCACAAGTCAGAAGAGCACATAAATGTAAGATCCATAATCAAACTACCTACATGCATAAGGAAATGAAAACCCAAGATATTAAGCTAAAACTTAGTTTAGAAACACTGAAACCCCAAGAAACAGATAGAAACAAGACTGAATAGCCTTGGGAGAAGCTTTCACAGCTCCAAATCCACAGCCTACTGCCAGTACACACCCGTAACTCTTCCCCCCAACTCTTAAGTAGACAAATTCATCATTTTATAAACTACAGACTTCATGTAAAAAGAAAATATCAACAACTCAAAATAATAAGCAAATATGGCCGGGCGCGGTGGCTCATGTCTGTAATTCCAGCACTTCGGGAGGCCGAAGTGGGTGGATCACTAGGTCAGGAGTTGGAGACCAGCCTGACCAACATAGAGAAACCCCGTCTCTACTAAAAATACAAAAACTAGCCGGGTGTGATGGTGCGCACCTGTAACCCCAGTTACTCAGGAGGGTGAGGCAGGAGAATCGCTTAAACCTGGGAGGCAGAGGTTGCAGGGAGCTGAGATCGCGCCACTACACTCCAGCCTGGCAACAGAGCAAGACTCAAGAAAGAAAAGAAAGAGAAGGAAGGAAGGAAGGAAAGAAAGAAAAAAATGTAAAATGATTCTTAACTATTTCTTTACTATTTCTTTCTTTTTTTTTTTTTTTTGAGGCGGAGTCTCGCTCTGCCGCCCAGGCTGGAGTACAGTGGCCGGATCTCAGCTCACTGCAAGCTCCGCCTCCCGGGTTCACGCCATTCTCCTGCCTCGAGACTCCCGAGTAGCTGGGACTACAGGCGCCCGCCACCTCGCCCGGCTAGATTTTTGTATTTTTTAGTAGAGACGGGGTTTCACCGGGTTAGCCAGGATGGTCTTGATCTCCTGACCTCGTGATCCGCCCGTCTCGGCCTCCCAAAGTGCTGGGATTACAGGCTTGAGCCACCGCGCCCGGCCTACTTCTTTCACGTGTATGAATCAAAAGTGAAAGCAGCATTTTCCAAAACAGCAATACTAAGTTATTACTTTTTTCATTTTATTTTTCTGCTGCACAGGAGGTTTCTGTAAGTTATGACTTCTATGAATTCTTGATTTACCTTTACTTTTACTGAGGAGACCCTGTTAAGTCAACCATGCATGTTAATTGACTTGTTTTTCTTTTAAGACGGAGTTTTCGCTCTTGTTGCCCAGGCTGGAATGCAATGGCGTGATCTCGGCTCACAGAAACCTCTGCCTCCCCAGTTCAAGCAATCCTCCTGTCTCAACCTCCTGAATAGCTAGGATTACAGGCACGTGCCACCACGCCTGAGTATTTTTGTATTTTTAGTAGAAACAGGGTTTCTCCATGTTGGCCAGGCTGGTCTCAAACTCCCGACCTCAGGTGATCTGCCAGCCTCAGCCTGCCAAAGTGCTAGGATTTCAGGTGTGAACAACCGTGCCCAGCCCAATTGAGTTGTTTTTCTAAGCAGTGGTAATTCACATTCTCATCCCTTCTGTTATGACCAAGGGCATACAAAAAAATACCAGGATAAGACAGATTGCCAGGCCTGGTGGGGTCGCTCACACCTGTAATCCCAGCACTTTGGGAGGCCGAGGTGGGTGGATCACCTGAGGTCAGGAGTTGGAGACCAGCCTGGCCAACATGGCGAAACCCCATCTCTACTAAAAATACAAAAAATTAGCCAGTTGTGGTGGTGGGTGCCTGTAATCGCAGTTACTCGGGCTGAGGCAGGAGAATTGCTTGAACTTGGGAGGCGGAGGTTGTTGCAGTGTGCCAAGATCATGCCACTGTCCTCCAGCGTGGGCAACAAGAGTGAAACTCCATTGCAAACAAAACAAGGAAAAAACAAACAAACAAACAAAAAATAGACAAATTGCCTATGTAACCTATACTGGTCCACAGAGGATTTTTTTTTTTTTTTTTTTTTTGAGACAGAGGGGTATTGTCTCCCGGGTTGGAGTGCAGTGGCGTGACCTAGGGCTCACCGCAACCTCCACCTCCTGGGTTCAAGCGATTCTCCTGCCTCAATCACCCGAGCAGCTGGGATTACAGGCGCCCAACACCATGTCCAGCTAATTTTTTGTATTTTTAGTAGAGACGGGGTTTCACCATGTTGGCCAGGCTGGTCTTGAACTTCTGACCTCGTGATTCGCCTGCCTCAGCCTCCCAAAGTGCTGGGATTACAGGCTTGAGCCACCATGCCTGGGCCCTTCAGAGGATTTTTAATAAACTGGCCCACACTTACTCTTTAGTTAAAAGCAAGAAATTGGCTGGGCGTGGTGGCTCATGTCTGTAATCTCAGCACTTCAGGAGGCCAAGGAGGGCGGATAACCTGAGGTCGGAAGTTCAATAACAGCCTAACTAACATGGAAAAACCCCATCTCTACTAAAAATACAAAATTATCTGGGTGTGCTGGCAAATGCTTGTAATCCCAGCTACTCGGGAGGCTGAGGCAGGAGAATCGCTTGAACACGGGAGGTGGAGGTTGCAGTGAGCCAAGATCGCGCATTGCACTCTAGCCTGGGCAACAAGAGTGAAACTCTACCTCCAAAAAAAAAAAGCAAGAAATCTACCTTCCAAGGACATTAAAAAAAAAGCAGCTAATTATTTAAAATAACCTTTAAATCCTTTTAGAGACTTAAAATCCTTTTAAAGATTTAAAACCCAAACTTTACAAAGGTTTGATTCCCTCTGGGCAGCCTCCTTTGCATTCTTCCTAGCTACAGTACCTCTATTCTCTCATAGAATACTTTCAGTTTTTATTGGTTTCCACAATTTGATAGGAAGCAATGACCAGCAACTCTATGCACTCTCCTCCGCTAAACACATGCAGGAAAAATGATGGTTTAGGTAAATTCATCTTACTTAGCTCCACATCCCATGCTGGAAGTTACTTTCGAATATTCCACACCTAAAGTTCAGGTAAACTTCCTTTGAGATTAAGCTCCTGGGCCGGACTCTGTGGTTTATGCATGTAATCCCGACACTTTGGAAGGCTGAGATGGGATGATTCCCTGAGCCTAGGAGTTTGAGGTTAAAGTTAGCTATGAAGACGCTACTGTACTCCAGCTTGGGTGACAAAGCAATACTTTATCTCTAATAATAAAAATTTTAAAATCTGAAAAATTAAGACTTCACCTGAGCCGATAAATGCAGAGTTGAAAACAACAACAACAAACCTTATAACTGAGCTGGAGCCACTACATGCACACATGAAAAGGACTAACAGTCATAAAATAACATACAAAATCTGGAAGCTAATTTAGTGTAAAGGAAGAGTCTGTTGTTTCTTATTATAATACATTTCCCACTAAATTCTATCACCTTACGAGATGAGTTTTAAACTAAGCGTGTAATGAGAAAATAGGTAACTTTTTTAAATCTCTTTTTTCTTTTGGGCTGCGGGGTGGCGAGAGAACAAAGAAATACTAAAAGTGAAATGCTACGCTAAACTGATCAGGCTAACTGGGAACTCACTGGAAAAGTGAAAACGGAGATGAATTAGTGATGAGCTCAAGAAGGTGCTTAGCCACTTACCCAGAGATTTATTTAATGAGAATGGATCGCAGGTTTCCACAGGTCGTTCCACTGACAGTAAGAAGACAGTCGTGAACCTTGGATCCCTTTTTTCACTAGTCAACAGTCACCCTCACCTACACGCGGAGTACATATTTGGCACTCAACAAATCTTGATTGAATGAAACCCTACCACACTCATACTGGCACCCAACCCCGGAGTTATGGCCCCCCAAATTACCTCCAAAACGCCTGACGACCTAACCCAAAGAGCAGAAAAAGTAGAGAGGAAACCTCTAGGGGTGGAGGGGATTCTCTGTCAAACAAGCAGGGGCCAACGGGGCCTAGACCAACCCAACTTCCCACAGAACACTCAAGGGCCCAGGGGATTGAACCGTGGCTAATCTCCTTCGACTTCCACGAAGCAGCAGCCAAGGGGACGCAGATCCATAGCCTCCCACCCGGGGGCGCTGAGAGATCTCGGGGTATCCCCCCCAAAAGTTAGTACCTGCGAAGCTGCGCCACAAAGTGTGGCTCCGGGCTCTCATTACGGAGGCCGCGACCTGTGACCGGCCAGCCGCGTCTCCTGGCTGAGGGTTCCGCGCTCCGGAGCTGCAGTGACCGTACACGTCGTCGATAGACACCTAAGGCTTCGGAAGGGTCCTGGCTCGCAGGCCCCAGCCGTTTTGCTCTTAGGACTCCGCGAGTTGTCGCACCCACGTCGACGGCGCTCTTCAGTGCTTCCCTCACTGGTTAAGCGGTCACTCCTGCCTTAAGCCCAGCAGCCGGTCGCTCTCCGGCGCCGCCATCGTTAGTGTTTGTTTTCATCCGCTTCGGTAATGGCCGGGGGCGGGGGGTGGAAGAGGGCTATGGGGGAAATCCAGATACCTAACCTTAGTCGCACTTTCGCTACAGTAATGATGCCCTATTTATTCTTTTAGTCCTCAAAATCTCCATGAAAGTTGATTTTCTTTCAACGTAAGCTTTGTTCTCTAATCTTTCTAAGCGACTCAAGATAAAATAAAGACGGAAAGGAGGTGTTTGAGAGAGAGAGAGACCGTTTGGGTGATGTGTGGAATATGCGGAGACGAACCGCAGGTCGCAGTGGCAGCGGCAGTGAGGACGCGGCGTGGGGCGGGCCCTGACGCGGAAGGGGCGGTGCCGCTGTTGCGCGCCGTGGCGGCCTGTGTGCAGTAGCCGGTTCCGGAGGAGGGTCCAACCCGGCTAGGTGGGTGGGGAGTGTGGCTGTTAACCTGGCAGCCGCGGAGAGGTGGGTGACGGGCCTGGGCTAACTGAGTGGCCGGCGCAATCAGACTTTGACATCCGTTTTTAGGGTGCCCTTTAAAAGTGGCGGAGTCGTCTCCCAAACCTGGTTCGGCCAGCCTCTTTTTCGCTCCCGACTTCCAATGTGTCTGGTCTTCCCTACTTCCTGGCCCTCGGCTTCACGATTTGGAGTTCTTGGAGTGAGGGAAAAGCCTTTTGTTAGAGAACACAGTGTACGTCCATAAGGCTGGGTTGTGGACTTTGTTGTTGGTGGTTTTTTGTTTTTTGTTTTTTTTGCCCCTTCTTTTCTTGTTAGACTGGTTTGAGCACCCCAGCATCTGTCCTGTACTTATCAGGTAGAACCAGAAGTTTATGGATATTGAAACCCATGACCAATTCTTACCCAAGGTGGTTATGACATACGTCAGCTGCTGCTTGATCTATATAGTTAGGAGCTGACCTCTTTTACCTTGTGAATAATTATGTCATCACCTCCATTATTCTTTTGGTGTTCTCAATTGAAATGCCAGGCATTAAATGAGCCACAAAGGTTAAATTCCCATTATCCTTCAATCAGAGCAAGCCTGTCGTGCAGCCATGAGTTAGTGGAGAAAAATCCAGAGTTGTAAGTACAGTACGTTTTGCCTCAACAAAATGGAAATTTGCAGAAAAGGAGCTGCTCCAGCCTTTGAGTCACTTTAAAGTCTTTGGTAGGTTTCTAATGTTTTTTCTTTTAACATTTACAGAGAGAAGATTATAAATGGCAGAGCCATTTAACTGTGGTTAGCTGTTGGATTCTGATACTTTCTTAAAAATACCTTCCTGCACCAACATCTTCATTGGAAACAGTTCAGAAAAAGCAGAGGAGAGAGACAACTTTCACATTTACCATGGCTATACCAATAACAGTGCTTGACTGTGACCTCTTGCTGTATGGCCGTGGTCACCGGACATTGGACCGTTTTAAGCTGGATGATGTGTCTGATGAATACTTGATGTCCATGTATGGGTTTCCGCGACAGTTCATTTATTACTTGGTGGAGCTCTTGGGGGCGAATCTTTCTAGGCCTACTCAGCGATCCAGGGCTATTAGCCCAGAGACACAGATCCTTGCAGCATTGGGTTTTTATACCTCAGGTTCCTTCCAGACTCGGATGGGAGATGCCATTGGAATCAGTCAGGCGTCTATGAGTCGTTGTGTTGCCAATGTCACCGAAGCACTTGTGGAAAGGGCCTCACAGTTCATTCGCTTTCCAGCTGATGAAGCCTCCATACAGGCTCTGAAGGATGAATTCTATGGGTTGGCAGGGATGCCAGGGGTGATGGGGGTAGTTGACTGTATCCATGTGGCCATCAAGGCACCAAATGCTGAAGACCTCTCCTATGTGAACCGAAAAGGCCTGCATTCTTTAAACTGCCTGATGGTGTGTGACATTAGAGGGGCACTAATGACCGTGGAGACAAACTGGCCAGGCAGCCTACAGGACTGTGCCGTGCTGCAGCAGTCTTCCCTCAGTAGTCAGTTTGAAGCCGGTATGCACAAAGATAGCTGGCTTCTGGGTAAGTTTGCAAGTGTGAATTTTCATTTTGTTTGGAGGCATAGAAAAGTTATGTAGGCTGGGGGCACACAGCCCCAGCACTTTGGGAGGCCGAGGTGGTGGATCACCTGAGGTCAAGAGTTGGAAAGCAGCCTGGCCAACATGGTGAAACTTCGTCTCTACTAAAAATACAAAAATTGAGCATGGTGGCAGGCGCCTTTAGTCCTAGCTACTTGGGAGGCTGAGGCGGGACAATCGCCTGAACCCAGGATGCAGAGGTTGCAGTGAGCCGAGATAGCGCCATTGCACCCCCACCTGGGCAACAGAGCAAAAACTGCATCTCAAAAAAAAAAAAAGTGGCTATGCGGGTAGCTCATGCCTGTAATCCCAGCACTTTGGGAGGCTGAGGTAGGCAGATCACCTGAGGTTGGGAGTTCAAGACCAGCCTGACCAACATGGAGAAACCCCGTCTATACTAAAAATTCAAAATTAGCTGGGCGTGGTGGCGCATGCCTGCAATCCCAGCTACTGTGGAGGCTGAGGCAGGAGAATCGCTTGAACCCAGGAGGCAGAGGTTGCAGCGAGCCGAGATCACGCCAGTGCACTCCAGCTTGGGCAACAAGAGCGAAACCCTGTCTCAAAAAAAAAAGAAAAAGAAAAATTGTGCAGTGGAGTAGAATGAGATATGGGAGTCTGTAGAGGTGAATCTCAGTCCTGTCATTTTTTTATGAGACCTCAGGTGAGAATTTTCTTAGCCTTAATTTTTTAAAAATCAACATTTAATAGACATTATTAAAACCTTAAAGCATACTATTAGAGCCAGTATAGTGGCACGTACTAGTACAACTGGTAATTGTAATTCCAGCTACCGGGGAGGCTAAGGCAAGAGGATCACTTGAGCCTGGACCTTGAGACCAGCCTGAGCAAGATAGCAAGATGCTGTCTCCAAAACAATTAAACATTTTTTTCTTATTTTAATTTTTTTATTTTGTGTAGAGGCAGAGTCTCACTATGTTGACCAGACTAGTCTTGAGCTCCTGGCCTCAAACTATCCTCCCATTTTGGCCTCTCAAAGCTCTGGGAATGTGACTGTGAGCCACCACACCCAATGTAAAAAATATTATTATTATTATTTTTTTTTTTTTTTGAGACAGAGTTTTGCTCTTGTTGCCCAGGCTGGAGTACAATGACGCGATCTCGGCTCACCGCAATCTCTGCCTCCTAGGTTCAAGCAATTCTCCTGCCTCAGCCTCCTGAGTAGCTGGGATTACAGGCATGCACCACTATGCCCAGCTAATTTTGTATTTTTAGTAGAGATGGGGTTTCACCATGTTGGTCAAGCTGGTCTCTAACTCCCAACCTCAGGTAATCTGCCCATCTCAGCCTCCCAAAGTGCTGGGATTACAGGCGTAAGCCACCGTGCCCAGCCAAAAAATATATATATATAAACAAACGTATTTTATGTTATTTCACCCAGCTCTTCTATTCCTAAGAATTTGTCTTACAGGTATAGATTTATACATGTGTAAAACAAAATTGCATACAAGAATTTTTATTGCAAACAATAGCTGCAGCAACAAAAACAACCTTATAAAAACAATCCTGTCTGGGTGCGGTGGCTCCTGCCCGTAATCTCAGCATTTTGGGAAGTCAAGGTGAGAGAGTCACTTGAATCCAGGAGCTCGAGATCAGCCTGGGCAACAAAGTGAGACAGTGTCTTTCAGAAAAGTAATAATAATATAAACAAGTAAACAAATAAAACAATCCTCTGAAATAAAGCCAAAATAGTGCTGGACACGATGGCTCACGCCTATAATCCCTGCACTGTGGGAGGCCATGGAGGGCGTATCACCTGAGGTTGGGCGTTCAAGACCATCTTGGCCAACATAGTGAAACCCCTCCTCTACTAAAAATACAAAAATTACCAGGGCATGGTGGCACACGTCTGTAATCCCAGCTGCTCAGGAGGCTGAGGTAGGAGAATCGCTTGAACCTGGGAGGTGGAGGTTGCAGTGAGCCAAGATCATGCCACTGCACTCCAGCCTAGGCAACAGAGCGAGACTCTGTCTCAAAAAAAAAAAAAAAAAAGCCAACATACTTACCAGGATTGTCCAGAATTGTTTAAGTATTGTACATCCATACAGTTAAGCCTTATCTGGCTCTGTTAATTGTCTGTAAAATGATTAATCTGACACCAACCACAGTAATATCTATTGTGAGGATTAGGTAATATATATGAAAGTTCCCTATAAAGTATTATACAGATATACAAATGTGGCCTGGCGTGGTGGCTCATGCCTGTAATCCCAGCACTTTGGGAGACCAAGGCGGTGGATCACCTGAGGTCAAGAGTTGGAGTTCAAAACCAGCCTGGCCAATGTGTTCAAACCCCTTCTCTACTAAAAACACAAAATTTAGCAGGGCATGGTGGCGCATGCTTGTAGTCCCAGCTACTTGGGAGGCTGAGGCAGGAGAATTGCTTGAGCCCAGGAGGCGGAGGTTGCAGTGAGCTAAGATCACGCCACTGCACTCCAGCCTGGGCGGTGGAGCAAGACTCCATCTCAAAAAAAAAAAAAAGGCCAGGTGCAGTGGCTCATGCCTGTAATCCCAGTACTTTTGGAGGCCGAGGCAGGCGGATCACCTGACGTCAGGAGTTCAAGACCAGCCTGGCCAAAATGGTGTGAAACCCCTTCTCTACTAAAAATACAAAAAATTAGCTGGGCGTGGTGGCAGGCGTCTATAATCTCAGCTACTTGGGAGGCTGAGGCAGGCGAATTGCTGGAACCCGGGAGGCAGAGGTTACAGTGAGTCGAGATCATACCATTGCACTCCAACCTGGGCAACAAGAACGAAACTCCATCTAAAAAAAAAAAAAAAAATTATTTTTGCGTTATTGATTGTCACTGTGATATCTGCATAAAAATGATAGTAGACAATGCATGTACACAATTCTTATGGTATCAACTTACTTCACAGACCTGCCCGAGTTCCATTGGAAAGACTGGCTTACTGTTATGAGTAGGACAAGAATCTATTCAACAGTAAGCAGTGTGAACCAAGGTGACTGTACAGCTTTGAGGAGTGCAGTTAGTTAGCAGTGATAAAACCCTTGAACCCAGCAGCTTAGTTTTTTGTTTTTTGGGTTTTTTTTTTTTTTAATGTGCTACTTTTATATGAGCATCAGGACAAGGCTTATCTTGTATACAACATATGAGAGATGAAAGCTATGTGAAGGATTGGAAGACTTCTCTAACTTTTGTTTTTTTGAGATTGGGTCTTGTTATGTTGCCCAGGCTAGTCTCGAACTCCTGGCCTCAAGCAATCCTCTGGCCTCAGCCCAGGCTCGTAATACCAGTAGCTGGTATCACAGACATACACCACCACACCCAACTAATCACAACCACTAATCATATCTACACTGCACAGGCTCGTAGCACAGTGCTTACTATGAGTTGATGCTTAGGAAATATTTCTCTTTAACATATTTACTAGCACTTTATAGAGAAACCTCCCATGTTCCGAGTGGGCGAAGACGACACTGATGGGTGTAGAGCTGCCAGGGTACCACGTGTAATATCTTGGAGCTTAGTGAATTTCTTGATTGTTGCTTGTCCATACCATTTTTAGTGCACCACCTTCTTGCTATGCTACTGGACCTTTATCTTAAACACACCTTTTGCCTATTTTGAGCTTTCAAATTTTATTTTCATACAACTCACATCAAGAAGTGTGGGAAAGTCTATTTTGCAATTGTCTCATCTGGCCGTTTCTTCTATAGCTGTGGGACTACTTGGTTTCCAAGCTGATTTCTTACGAATCTCTTCACTTTGGTTCCCCCCCAAATTTTTTTTTTTTTTTTTGGTGACAGGGTCTCACTCTGTCACCCAGGCTGGAGTACAGTGGTGTGATTATGACTCAGTCAGCCTTGACCTCCTGGGCTCAATTTATCCTACCTCAGCCTACTGAGTAGCTGGGACTACAGTTGCACACCACCATGCTGGGCTAATTTTTGTATTTTTGGTAAAGTTGGTGTTTTGTCATGCTGCCCAGGCTGGTCTCGACCCCTAGGCTCAAGCAGTTAGCCCACTTTGTACTCCCAAATTGCTGGAATTACAGGCATGAGCTACCGCACCCTGCCCAGTTCACTAACTATTAAGCTAGCTAAAACTTAGCCCTTAGAATTTGACAGGCAATATTGTAAGCATTTTGCATCAATTATATCACTTAATGCTTATAAAAACTCTTTAAGAGTTAAATAATAATATTAACATTTTTACAAAAGAAGAGACTGAGGGACATAACATTTAAATCCCTTGTGTTTCAGTGTTTAAATGAGATCATAGTACGAATTACTCTATTTGGCAAATATTCCTTGTAAGGACTTCAAGATCATGTAGGAGGTAGTGATTTTCTTTTTCTTCCCACCTTGGGATCCAAGGTTCAGTTGGAATTATGGCTTTAAAGTAGTTTTTTACATTGTTTATAGTACATAATTGAAAATTAGTAAAAATTCTGATAAATAACTTTGCTGATTCCCCTCTCTACAGAAAGAGTAGGAGTGGGAAAAATGGATATTGTAGCAACATTTAACAAATGTTTATTTTTTATGCTTTTTTGAGATGGAGTCTTGCTCTGTCACTGAGGCTGGAGTGCAGTGGCGTGAGCTCGGCTCACTACAAGCTCCGCCTCCCGGGTTGACACCATTCTCCTGCCTCAGCCTCCCGAGTAACTGGGACTACAGGTGCACGCCACCATGCCCAGCTAATTTTTTGTATTTTTAGTAGAAATGGGGTTTCACCGTGTTAGCCAGGATGGTCTGGATCTCCTGATCTCGTGATCCACCTGCCTCGGCCTCCCAAAGTGCTGGGATTACAGGTGTGAGCCACCACGCCCGGCCTGTTTATTATATTATATATACACAGACATTTTTGAGACAGGGTCTCACTTTGTCACCCATGCTGGAGTGCACTGGCATGATCACAACTCACTGAAGTCTTGACCTCCTGGGCTCAGTTGATCCTCCCACATCAGTCTAC